AATAACGTTCGACTTCGGGTATTAAGTGGTGAACGAATCAGTCCTCAAAAGCGAAAACTGTCACCCAAGCTTTATGATTTGATTTATAAAACACTGGTAAGCTAATTATAAATATCTTTTTTAAAGCTCGTGTTTTTTTGGAGCGGTAAATTAAGAGAGGTTTTAACTTGCAGTCATCAGCTGCATTCTCGCCAACCATTACCCTCAATCGATCTTTAGAAATCTTAAAGCCTGGAAAGCTTTTTCTTCACGTGCGATAAAAGTTCTTTTGTGCATCTTCGTCCATAACAGGCCAGTATCACCCACGTCAAACACGGTTTCACTGCTATAGTCACCTTCTTCTATCATGGCATTGAGTGCTTCAGGAAAGGAAGACGCAGCTTCTTTATCGGCACTTGCCGCCTCTCCGCTGTCCGCGATACTGTGCCAGATACAGCGAGTTTTAAATCGGTTGATCCGTTACTAGCCACAAAGTTTTCCTCTTCGCCCGCATCCCCAGCTTCTTCTTTCGACCTCTCAAAAATCAGCTTTGCTTGATTACACACAGTGTTCTGATCGACAGGACAATTCTTCCCATTTGCTTGATTATCACACCATAATCTCAGCACTGTTTCAGTGTCTGCAATAATATCATTACGTTTACGAATTCTGCTTGAGTTCAAGGATTGAACATTTTTCACCGCATCATTTTTCATCTTTATTTATCTTTTATGATTATTCTTACTGTGGATTCCAGTAGCTGAAACTTCTTTGTCAATTCACAACTTTTCATTCTGCTACCAAAATCCTTGATAATGTTGAGTTTGCATTCGAAAGATATCTTTTTCCTTTTCTTACTAGATATAGGAAAATCAGATTTACATCGTTTGGACGACAGTTTTTAAGGGTTCAGAAAACGTATAACAAAACAATCTTAAATTTCATTCATCGTAGAATCGTAATCGTGCATGTAGAGTTCGCGCGAAACGCATCCAGCAAGAGAAACACTAAAGACAGCGGGCAGCAGTGTTTTGTCAAACGAAAAAATCAAGAACCGCGTAATTACGAGTTCGCGTAAATCGGGATAGCGTAAGTCAGGGTATTATTGTAGCTTAAGAATAATTCCCGGATCATCTATCTTAACCGATCTTCACGCTATACCTCAATTTCTATACAAGTTAAAAAGTTTCTGTTCTAACTTTTCACATATTGAGTCTCATCCTAGAGTAACAGCAGTTCAGCGTATCCGGCTAGATATTCTGCTGACCCGCCGTATAAACAAGATATTGTTCAGGTGAGCAATATGGGGCGCTAGCTCTCTCACCTGACGACTTCCGTACATAATACAGTGAAAAACAGCCGCTTTCTTAATACCCGGATGTCAAAAGTTATGCAGAACCCATCGGGAAAAGCAAATTTGCCAATGGAATACGAAGGTGAAGCGTTTCATAAGGTTTACCAATTTCATTGTCTCGTCTCCATCGAACCAAAAATAAACAGGAGGATCAATCCAGCTTCGAGCACTTTTGAAACCTGTCCATGAAGAGACATTCCTCAGAAAGGAGTGTCACTTTAGACAAAAGTCTGCCTATAACTTCCCTCTCTCAGGTCAATATTATGGCATACCATGACGACATTAGTTCATACGAAGGAGCAAGAAGACGGCTGAAATCCGAACAACACTGTTCATTTCGATGCTTAATGATGGTTAAACGGCAGAACTGAGCAGCGATGACTATTCTGTTAAGGGCATAAGCGACCTCAGTAAATATGGAGATTAAGGAAAGGATATGGGTTCTGTCAGACAAACTGGCTCAGTATAAATCATCTTCATCACCCCAAGAGCTTCTGCAGCATGTAACGTGGAGAAACAGGGAAGAGGTAGATCTGCTTTCGGACAAGAATAATTCCTTCTACGATGCAGTAACCCGTATTTTATAACAAACGTTTTGAAAAGCTGCGAATGCAGGGGAAACACAGAAACCAGAGACACTCTGCTTATGAAAACGACTTAAGGTGATCATCTCAACAACAACCTACTTGCACAGTATACGCAGCATGAAACAGTTTGTCCGTAGTCTGATGACTCACTGCTTCGTAGTATTTATAGGTGATAAAGAGGAAGAGGGTTACAAGTTTCTGGAGAAACAAAGGCTGTACAAGTGTTAGTATTAAAAACATATGCACCACCAAAGATACTAACACTATTGGATGAAAAATGCTGATCACGTGCTGATCCCGTTCCATGTGCACAATTTTCGCAGTGATCGGAACTCCATCCATGAAGTATCGCACTTTACTGCCATTTTCACTAATATCACCATAAATGTTCGAGTAAGAGGGAACACCTAAAAGGAGATTACAGACTGAAGCAGTGATGAACGTACATTTTCATACCGGCTGGTTCAACGGCAGCATCGCTTACACATTCACATTCTATAACGTCTTCGTCATCCGAATCCGACAATTCGCTCAGCTGCTCCTCCTTCACGGAGAAACCCGAAGGAGTGGCCGCCAGCATGTCCTGTCAAAAAATAATATGTAAACAGATAAACAGAATCACAAGATCAGCAAAAGGAAAATTTCAAACAATGCCGTTATGCAAAGCAACGGGAGTCCAGCGTCCACGCATTAATACAAGAAAATAAAAAAGATTATCTTAAACTAATTTTTGAAACAATCTGTTCAAAAAATGAAAGCAAGTTACCAAGACAAACAACTAGCTAATTGCCACCTCATGCTTAAGGTTGCGATTTTCGGCAGGAACACAAAATGCTAAATGTACCTCTGTGTATCGGATTTCGGACAGGGAGTCGCCAAACAGAAAGGAGTACATCGCTGTGTCCAGTAAAAGATATAAGATGAATGATCACAGTATTGAATGGGTGTGCAGAAAGCTGCATCTGACAATATGTACCACCTCGCATCCCTCATCGACAAAAAGTTTGACCACGCATGAGTCAACAAAAGATGATTCAGCGGGTTCACTGAAATTCCTAAAACTACCAGATTTAAAGCATCTTTACCTCTAACTTTCAGTTTACCGTCACTACAGAATGCTCCTCCCTTCAACGTGTTCACATCAACGGCATTCACAGGGAACAGGCATGAAATGCCCGAGACATTAAATACAGTACAACATTTATTTGTAATTCTGATCCAGAGGTAGAAATCAATAAAAAAAAAATCAAGCCCAATGCACCGTAAAAGTGAGAGATAATAAATATTGATATACTCTACGACCCTTTGAAAATGCATACATCTATCAGTTTAACATTAGACCTTTAGAGCAAAATTTTCAATGATTTAGTCCACACACATTTATTTGGTAGCACTGTCATGATGTTTCAAACAATCAACTGATCAATGTCATTTGACGGTAATCATAAGGTGGTCATCCGAGTGTAGGCCACATGAACGGCAATGCCATCTGAAATAAACGTTTTCTAGTACTACAAATCTTCATGACCCCTTCATATTAAATTAAAGATGGTGATACCTAGCAAAGATAGATCCTGCTTTATGGGACATTTTACAACTGTTAAAAGTCGATTCGCACATTATTTTTATGCAGAAATGCGATTTAAACATTGATTATCAAGTAAAATTTAACACCTCAAGCAGGTACTGTAAGACATTTTTATAAGAAAAAACTGATCAAAAACCATTCCTATGGAGAACTTTTCTGGCCGAAACGAGTTAAAATAATATGTTTAAAATATTTTTTAACGTATCCATAGAACTATATTATACTTCATGGATATTTCTAATATTAATATTAAGCTCCCACTGATGGTGTCGTTTTCGTGGAGCCTTTTCTGACGTGCTGTAATGGCATCGCGCTGTCTGCCTCCTCCGCTCAGAAGGGGTAGCGACTCCGTTGCTGACTGGTATCTTCGTCCTCGCTAATTAGTTTTCAACCCATCCAGTGGTGGTCAAAAGCTCGGATGAGAAATA